CCAGCATCTCGAGCGCTGCTGCTGTCCCAAAGCGGTCCCGGCGCGAGCTGCGCAATGACTGTCTTGCCCACAGGACCGGATTTCGCCGTCCCCAGCGACGAATTCCGGATCATGCTCTTACGCCGCCTCCGCATGCCGCTGCCCCTGGCACCGAAGCGATGCCGCTGTGGGGGGGCGCTGGATGAGTATTGAGACCACAGGTCAGCGTGCGCTCAAGTGGGGGTGCTGGCCCACCGAGCTGGTCCCCTTCAGCGCGCGGCGGCACGTGTTTGCCGAGAGGCCGGGGCACGCGTGGCAGGCAGCACCGCGCTACGCGACATGAACCTGGACTTGCCCGCCAGTGATGCGCGGCGCATAGAGGTCGTCGCCAATGGATTGCCCATCTGGCGGGGGGTGCAGGTGGCTGTCGACACCACGCTCGTCAGCCCAGTCCAACGTAGCGGGCAAGCTCGCGCCGGGTGCGAGGCTGTGCCTGGACTCGCCCTCCAACAGGCAACAGCACGCAAGCGCCGCACCTACCCTGAGCTCCGCCCCGACCGGCGTGGTAGGTGTCGCCTCGTCGTGTTCGGCCTCGAAGTGGGCGGACGCTTCGGAGCAGAAGCGCTTGGCTTCTTGCGGCGGCTGGCGCGGGCACGAGGCGCAGCCCGTATTAATATCCTCACTTCGTTCTATTAATGCACTAACTACAGGATTGATGGACCGTGGACAGGCTTATAGTAAGGTTAAGGTTGGATTTCTGGTATTCCTGCGACTGTGGGGCCCCATGGAAAGAAGAAGTCATGTGTACACGGTTAACCCTCAGTATTAGTACTAAAACTATGTGCTGTTAACCTTCTGGAAGACCAAGACATTAGGAAAGGGCCTCAATTTGCTGGTGGGTTTCGTTCATTCACGATCTTAATACTGGATAAGGAAGCAAAAGGACTAAATAATTTGTAATAAAATATAGTTCACTTGACAAGGAAATAGAAAGAAGAACGAAAGATAAGAGAGTTACACCTTAATTACTAATACGAAGCGTGAATAGAATGAACGTGCGTGTCAGCGGCGGAGGGCGCGGAGGCTGCCGCTGCGGCCTGCGTTCCACACGCGCGGGGCCGTCGTACGCGGCGCCGCCGGAGGGGCGCCCCGCGACTCAGGACCGGAGGAGGATGGCGCGGCCTCGGCGAGTGACTGTGCCCCGTCGGCGCCGTGTCATCCCCCGCGCTCGATCGCAGGGCCCGGGATCTCCGGCGACGCTGCGCAGTGGCTGGACGACCTCGATCTGTTGGCTGAGTTCCGACGCCGTGTGCCAACTTTGCAGACGGTGCCCCGTTTCCTCCACTGGCGTCCGCCGGGCCCTCTTCGCCGCGCTGGATGAGAACGCGTGCGCGCATGGAAACTTTTCCCCCTGTTGCCCCGCTTGCTCCTGGCTCGTTGTCCGCAGGCCGGAGCGGAGGGCCGCGCTGTGCTGACGCGTTGGTTGCAGCTGCTCCACCAGGGCAACCTCGCCGCGCTGCACGCGCAGACGCTGATGGCGGGCCCAGCCGAGGCACGTCCTCGCACCAACGAAGGCGGCGATGCAGCGCGGGCCGCAGCCGGTGCTAAACTCAAACAGGGCCAGCTGTCGCGAGCACGCCAGATGCTGACAGCGGCGGCGCTTGCTCCGGGTGACGACAGCACGCTGCGTGCGCTGACGGACCCTGCACGTCGGCCGCCGCAGCTGTTGCGACCCCTGACGCCGGATGTCCTCACGTTCACCGCCGCTGAGGAGGTCACCCTGACCGTCGCGCAGGTTGCCGATGCGCTGCGCAGCACCAAGCGCGGGTCAGCCGCGGGTCTGTCCAGAGCCACCATCGAGCTGTATACAAGCTTCTTCTGGACGACGCTGCGGTGCTCGAGTCGCTCACGTTCGCGTGCCCAGGCCCCGCAAATCGCGCAGGATGCGATCGCCATGTCCCGCCTCACGGCTCTGCGCAAGCCCGGCGGCGGCGTGCGAGGAATAGCTCCGGGGGACGTGTTTCAGCGACTCGTTGCCCGCGCTCTCGCACGCGCCTATGCTGCAGCTTTTGACGAGGCCGCCCCGTTCCAATTCGCGCTGCACGCGGGCGACCGTCCCCACCACATTGCCTGTCTGTCAGCGGCATGCCGAAGTCGGCGCCGCAATGCCAAGTGCATGAGGTCAAGGGCAAGGGTGGTCGCTGCATCTGCGGGGATGGCTGCGAGCCACATGCCGGCCGCAGGGCCAGACTGGGATCGGAGGAGTGCTCGCGAAGCCGGATGGCAGGCGGCAGCTCACGAAAGTGTGAAGTGCGAGAGCGGCGTGCCGCTGCCAGCCAAGGCCTCCCAGCCCGAGCTCTCCTTGCGATGGTGGCACCGGCGCCCCGCCAGCGCGCGCTTCCCAGCCAGGGCGTTCTGCCCATCCCGCCTCATCGAGCCGCGCCGCCACGTCAGCTGCAGCCTGTAGGAACGGCGGACCCCGGGCTTCGGGCAAGCTGGCGCAAGACCGGCAGCGCGTCGGCCCACGCTGCCCAGTATGCTGCCGGTGAGACGCGCTCGGCCGCGAGGAGGCCCAAACCCCCCAAACTTGGCGGCAAGAAAGCGAGGCTCGTGCACCAGTCCAGGCATCGTCCTCTCCCGGCCCCCTGCCGCCGAGCAGACGCTCGACGACCGCCCAAACTGCTGCGTCATGCGCCTGCGTGTACGGTCGTACGTCCTCTGGCGGGACATTGCGCAGCAAGTGCTGAGCCTGCGGCGCTGCGCAGTGCGCCAGCAATGCCAGCAGCAGCCACGCGCATTGGAGGTCAGCCAACCGCGCAATCTCTTGCAGAAGGTCCGCCTCGGCAACAAGACGGGACTTTGCCTGAGCTGCGACGAACGCAGGATGGCCGATGGGGACGCCGAGCGCGACAAACCCGCGCTGTTCGGGCGGCAGGTCGCACGCCACACGTCGGCGCCCAGGGCGGCGATGCTCGGGGGAGCTGGCCCACCGGCCGCATTGTAAACGCGCGTCTTGCCAGGGTTGGCAGCAACGCCAGCGCCCCGTTCGACCTGACCTCTTCGGGGACGACCTGAAGAAGATGCTCAGACCGCGCCGACGTCGTGACCACGTAATTAGAGGTCGTCCAGAAACGCGAGCAGCCTCTCACGTGGTTGCAACGATGCGCTCGCCGCGACAAGGGAGTCGTGCTGGCCAAGCGCGTACAGGCCCGGCGCTAACGGGTCTCCTTGCTCGATGCCCGGCCTGCGGTATCTCATGCAGCCCTCCCTCCGCGTCCCACCACAAACAAGTGGAAGTGCGAGCGTACATGGCCCGGACGAAGGGCAACAAGGCCGGCACGGTGTCGCGGAGCTTGCGCAGGATAGCATCGCGGCTGATCGTGTCATACGCGCTGCGCCCATCAAGAGAATTGATAGAAATGACCGTAGTCTCGGGGGTCGAGCTCAACAGCCGCGCGAAGCATCGCCGCCAGGCTGTCTGTGCCAGGATTGTTCCGGGCTATCCCGGGAAGAGATCCCGGGAGTGCGGGAACCATCCCGGGAAGCTTTCCGGGATCACTCCCGGGATCAATTGCGGGATTGTTCCGGGCTATCCCGGGAAGATCCGGGAAGCCTCCCGGGATCAATTGCGGGATTTCCGGGAACCATCCCGGGAAGCTTTTTGGGATCACTCCCGGATGAATTCCGGGATTGTTCCGGGCCATCCCGGGGAAGCCCGGGATCACTCCCGGGATCTCTTCGGGAAGCTTCCAGTCATCACTCCGGGATCAATTCCGGGATTGGTCCCGGGAACCTCGTGCTCGGCACGTGCTTCCCTGATCCCCTCAGTTTGGGGGGGGTCTTAAATGGTGACCCTTCAGGGTCAGGAACCAGGGGTCTGAAATGGGTCCAGAGGCATTTTAGACCCTTCCCGGCTTGCCATTGCAGACCCCCCTAACCTAGAGCCTTGGACGTCGGTGTCAATCTCGATTGGGAATAACCAACAAAAGGTCTAAAATGGGTTGCCCGGATTATGCCCAGTCCCTGGTAAATAGCACAGTTGGGGGTCGAAAATGGGCGCCCTAGGCCCCTCCCTTGACAACCTGAGGGGATCTTCATTGCGGGATGTTCCAGAGCTGCTCTCGCTCCGCATCGGTGGTCACCTCTCGATTTCCGACGAACCATTTTTGCTCTGGTTCGTCGTACTCACATCCCACACCACGAGAAGGTGGGCGACCGTCGTGGGACATCAACTGCCAGCAGGCAGCTTCTCACTGTGCTAGCTTACTGAAGTCCTGCGGGCGTGTGCTCGCCCGTCGTGCGAGGGTGCTTCGCCAGCGGGGCTGCCGGGGGGAGATCGACGCGTTGGGGACCACTACCTGGACCTCGCCTGCCCCCGCGCAGGCCTGCTGCCTCGCGGCTTCGTCCTTGAGCATGCGTGGGTGCAGGTCGTGGGAGAAGCGGTGGGTCCGAAGGACGTGTGGTGCCACAGCAGTGCCCGCACTCCAGCTCCTGCTTCATCCAGAATACCCTTTTCACCTTCTTTTTGTGACACATTGGTCATTTGCAGCGCTTTTGGTGCTGAGGATGAAGAAGATTCAGCTCCCCCACTCGCAGGTGGCTGAAAAGTGCTCCTGTCCGAAATCTCCCATCCTCTCTCTTTTTCAAACCGGACCTGATTGGCCACATGTACCAAGTGTTTCAGGTGCGTCAGCCGCTCATCTGACATCTCGTCGTGGGAGTACTTGCAGAAATTTGACCCTTTCCGGCAACGTCCTCTGATGTAATAATCGAAACAGCTTGCCCCACAGGTCCCGCCGGACGATTGCCGTCGCCTTGACTTCGTTGTCTACGGAGCGACGAGGAACGGAAAGGCGCTGCGGAGAGGCGCTGCGCGCAGACGCGACGCTGGTCTCTCCGTTGACCCGCGCCGGCCGCCCTATCCCCGGCTCGGATGCCCGTGACGGGGTTGCGCTCGCTGCAGCGCGTCGGCGCAAGGCCGCGCGCTATCCCGAGCTCACGCGGGGGGGCCCGACGCAGGGATGGGCGCGTCGCTGGTGGGGCGTCCTGTCGGTCGCTCTGCAGCGCGCCGTGGCCAGCTCCGCGCTCGGGGTCTGGATTATGCCACCCCTCCCCTGCCACGCGGGATGCACAGGCCTGTGTCGGTTGGGCTTGCGTTTTTTATGACGTTCAGGCGCGCCACTTTGGGGTTCTCTCTGGTTCAGTCCCTAGTTGGGCTCCTGAAAACCTCAATGCATATCTTGCCGAGTGCCTGGGCCTACTGTATGGTGGACTCGTTGCCACCAACCTGTTTCGGGACAGGCAAGTCGTCTTTCTGTCTGACTGCATCCCAGCCCTCGGGGCTGCAGCAGGCACATCACAGTTTGCGCCAGACGGGTTACCGCAGGCCACTCGGCATGTGCACGATCTTGCCTTAGCTTGGCTTGAACGCCGGCCTCATTACCAGCACGTGCCGGGACATGCGGGGGTAATGCCCAATGAGCTTGCTGATGTTGTTGCAAAGGCAGCCGGGCGAGGGGTTTCTGTAGGAGGCTTTGATGGTCCGGTTGCTTCGCTTCATCATCGTTGGCTTGCTAATGGAGCTCCAGACGTTGCGTGGCTTGCAGTTGCCATTCGAGGTTTGAGAGGGGAGAGCGGCTTGCCGCCACCGTGCGGCGGTGGCCTAGGTGACGACACTTACCACGGCGGGCTCTCAAACAGTGACCTCCTGGCGCCTTTCATGTCAGGCCCTGCAGCCACTGATGAGGGGTTGCGTGAGGACTGTCAACTTGCTCTTCGTGTCGTCACGTATAATGTCTTGACTCTGAGCGGCGCCGCGGAAGCCTCACAAGGCGTTGCCCCGGATACTGGAGTAGGACTTGCCTTTAAGCCTGCCAGACCAGCTCTGCTAGCAAGGCAGCTCTCCCAGCTTCGTGTTGACATTGCTGCTCTCCAAGAAACACGGTGTGAAAAAGGATCCTTGAGATGTGGAGACTTTCTCAGATATTGTTCTGGCGCAGAACGTGGACAGCTCGGAGTTGAGCTTTGGTTCCGGACCAGAAATGACTTTGCAGTTGGAGCAGGTGATGGCAAGTCCTCCTTGCGTTTTACACCACAGGCCTTCGTCATGCTACGTGCTGATGCACGGAGGCTGATCATGCGATACTCTGATGGAGGGCTCACCATTGTCTTTGCTTCCTTGCACGCCCCTCATCGTGGTTCAGAAGACACGGTTTTACTCCGATGGTGGCATGACACTTTGCTCCTCATGCGTCGCTACGCCTCTGACGCACTCGTTGTTGCTGGCGGTGACTTCAACGCTAGTGTAGGCAACGTTGTTTCTGACTTTGTCTCTGATTGGGCAGGCAAGGAACAAGACCTTGCGGGTGAGCAGCTTCATGCTCTGCTCCAAGCGTGTGCTGCTTGGCTCCCCTCTTCCTTTGAAGGAGTGCACAACGGCCCTTCGGCCACGTTTGTCCAAAAAAGAAATGGCCGTCCTACGAGACCTGACTTCGTGCTCCTTCCTCTTGCCTGGCGCTGGGGTCAGCTCGCGTCCTGGCTCGACCCTGGTCTGCACTCAGGTCACGATGTGCAGGATCACACTGCCGCGTTTGTTGACGTCCAGGTTTGTGTCCGAGCCGCAGGAAAGAAGCGCCCTCAGCGGAGACGTCGGATTGACTCCCGAGTTCTCTCAGACCCCCGGAGGGCACTCGAGGCGAGACAGGCCCTGTTGACTGCGCCAGTTGTGCCATGGGGAGTCTCAGCTCATGCGCACGCGGCTTTAGTTGTACATCATCTACAAGTTGCCCTCGCTCCCAATTTCAGCACAGCGCCCTCTGCCCCCAAACACGCGTACATCACTGCTGAAACCTGGGCTCTGCAGCGGGAAGTTAGTAACCTCCGCCGGGCACTGCGGAGACTAGCGGAGCAGATCTCTACGCAGCTGTTGCTCGTTTGTTTCAACCTTTGGCGCACAGGTGAGACCAGTGGCCTGCTTTGCTTCCTTAACTCGCCTTGGCGCCGTGAGACGCGGCACGCTGCTGCTATGCAAACCCATGCGCTGTCGAGAAGGATCCGTCGGTGAAGCAAAGAAGGGACCCGGCGTGAAAGCGTGAAAGCCTGCAAGGGTGTCAGGCCGCCAAGGCAACAAGGAGCTGACACGAACGGCATCACTGCAATCGCAGGACGTTAAGGCCTGCTCGAGAGTTGCTAGTTTGGGCGCACATGAAAGCAGGTCGGCAGCCTCAGCAGGTCCAAAACCAAGGTCAAGCTCGCCTATGGCAAAGTGAGAAGGCACATCCGCAGGTGGCTCGGTCGACCCTTTTGCTGGCAGGAGTGCAGCCAGTGAAAGCACGTGTGTCTGGACGCTGGCAGTCGCGCAGCCATCAAAGTGCTCGGCTAATACTGCAAGAAGGGTCCAGGCATCAAAGAAAGCGAGCCAGGAGCCATGGGTTCAGTGGGGGGCGGGGTGCGTGGGGGGTGGGGGTAGGGGTTGGAAGTGTGGGTGGGTGGGGGTGGGGGTTGGGGGTTGGGGGTGGCAGGATGCGTACGGTATGGGGGTGGGGGTTGGGGGTTGGGGTGGAGCAGGGGCCATATATAGGACCAGCGTTGGCAGCCATGCAGGTCGAGGGATGAAGAATGTGACCAACACCAAAGGGGCCAGGAGCCATGGGTCCAGTGTGGCTTCTCAGCTGACTTTAAAGACCCCAGTGCATGCCCGGGCCCTCCGCCCGCTCCGCCCGCTCCGCCCTCCGCCCTTCCAGCTCCGCCAACTCACTCTCCTTTGGCCCATGCTCTCATTCTTCACCCCTTGAGCTGCTCCACCCCCACCCGCAACCCCCACCCCCACCCCGCACGCACCCTGCCCCGCCGCCCGTGCTTGTCATGGGCCCCTTGCTCCTGGCGTCATGGCTCCACCCCCACCCCCAACCCCCACCCCCAACACCCCACCCTTTCCACACTTCCAACCCCCACCCCCACCACCCACGCACCCCGCCCCCCCATCCATGGGCCGTGGACCATGAGCCAATGGGGCCAGGAGCCATGGGTTCAGTGGGGGGCGGGGTGCGTGGGGGTGGGGGTAGGGGTTGGAAGTGTGGGTGGGTGGGGGTTGGGGGGGTGGCAGGGTGCGTGCGGTGTGGGGGTGGGGGTTGGGGGTTGGGGTGGAGCAGGGGCCATATATAGGACCAGCATTGGCAGCCATGCAGGTCGAGGGATGAGAGTGGGAGCATGGGCCAGGGGGGGGTAGGCGGAGCTGGAAGGGCCCAGCACTGGGCCCTTTAAAGTCAGCTGAGAAGCCACACCCATGGGCCGTGGACCATGAGCCAATGGGGCCAGGAGCCATGGGTTCAGTGGGGGGCGGGGTGCGTGGGGGGTGGGGGTAGGGGTTGGAATGTGGGTGGGTGGGGTGGGGGTTGGGGGTTGGGGGTGGCAGTGAGGGAGGGTGGGGCCGGGCATGCACTGGGGCCCTTTAAAGTCAGTTGGGAGCCACACCCATGGGCCGTGGACCATGAGCCAATGGGGCCAGGAGCCATGGGTTGCATGAGCCAAAGGGGCCAGGAGCCGTGGGTTCAGTGGGGGGCGGGGTGCGTGGGGGTGGGGGTCGGGGTTGGAAGTGTGGGTGGGTGGGGGTGGGGGTTGGGGTGCGTACGGTATGGGGGTGGGGGTTGGGGGTTGGGGTGGAGCAGGGGCCAGATTTCGGACCAGCATTGGCAGCCATGCAGGTCGAGGGATGAGACTGGGAGCATGGGCCAGAGGGGGGTAGGCGGAGCTGGAAGGGCGGAGGGCGGAGCGGCCGGAGGGCCAGGGCTTGCACTGGGGCCCTTTAAAGTCAGCTGAGAAGCCACATGGGCCGTGGACCATGAGCCAATGGGGCCAGGAGCCATGGGTTCAGTGGGGGGCGGGCCCATGACAAGCACAGGCGGCGGGGCAGGGGGTTTGGGCGTGGCAGGCTGCGTACGGTATGGGGGTGGGGGTTGGGGGTTGGGACCAGCATTGGCAGCCATGCAGGTCGAGGGATGAGAGTGGGAGCATGGGCCAGAGGGGTAGGCGGAGCTGGAAGGGCGGAGGGCGGAGCGGGCGGAGGGCCCGGGCTTGCACTGGGGCCCTGAAAAGTCAGCTGAGAAGCCACACCCATGGGCCGTGGACCATGAGCCAATGGGGCCAGGAGCCATGGGTTCAGTGGGGGGCGGGCCCATGACAAGCACAGGCGGCGGGGCAGGGGGGGGAGCTGGGTCCATGAGGGGTAGGTCAAGGGGATGGAGAGTGGGAGCATGGGCCAGAGGAGAGTGGGCGGAGCTGGAAGGGCGGAGGGCGGAGCGGGCGGAGGGCCCGGGCATGGGAGCTCCCTGGCACGTGGTGTCACATCGTCTAGGACTGTGCGTAGCTCCGGCCCAAGTTCTGCCTCAAACCAAACACGCGAGTCGCGCGTTGGAGGGACATGAGAAGCACAGCTGGGGCCGACGTCCCAGTGAAAACCAAGAAGGCCTCGAACTGGTGGTGGTCCAAGACTCCATGCTGCGGGCTCCGGGCGAGGATGCAAGCCAATAGGCGAAGGAGCAGCGGCCCCTACACGAAAGCATTGAAGGGCACATAGCATGAACGCAAAGCGGCCACTGCCAAACCTGGCTCCGCGGATGATGGGATCAGCGTTACAGGGACCTCCTTTGAGCGGCACGGCTCTGGTTAAGAGCGAGCACAAAGCAAGGGTCACAAAGAGCAGCCATGTCACAGCTAAAGCGCAGCATGACTCCGCAAGGCAAGAGCAACCTGCCAAGGCGACTTAGCAACCAACATCCAACACGCCCACATCGTCATCATCATGCCAAGCGCAATCAACGCGGTAACGGAGTGCTCTTTCAACCAAAAGGGGGTCACCAGGGAGCCGCCCCCTACTGCAGGAACTGGATGTTAGTGCACTCTGGTCAACATGTTTCGCGAACTGTGTCGGCCAGCCCACTACACAAGCACCAACCAGGAACGAGAGACAATCACAAGGCCACTGCGAGAAGAAGTGAGCGGCGTCGCCAAGCAAGGAAGACACGTGGCAGCCAAAACAACAGGCGCCATTGCGTGACCTGGCGACACGTGCAAGGAACAAACGCCAAGCAGGAGCTTCTGACAAAGAAGGAAAGGGGGAGCGGCATGGGACCGCCCCCTGCGTGACAGCAAAGCCAAACAAAGGTGGCAATGGGGAGAGTGGGGCCTTTGAGCACAGGAGCCCGCTGTGGGAGCAGCGTTGGAAGAAAGTGACCAGAGCGGCGCAGCCTAAACACGGGGCGCAATTACACGTGAGCACACTGACAGGGCAACCTGATGCAAAGAAGGCGCACGGCGCGAATGCAAAGGCGCGCACAGAGGCAGCAAACCAAGGGCCAGCCCAACTGCTGATAACTAACGGATTGGCATGCTGTGTAGGGCAAATGGGGATCGGTGCGGAACCGCCCCATAGCAAAAGGGTAAGGTGGCCTTCGCTCAGCTCTGAGAACACGAATGACGAGGAGTGAGTCAAGACAAGGCATGAGCCCCAGGGCGCCACTAGGAGTGAAACGAGAACTAGGGGAAACTCTACAGAACTGCCTATACATGAAGCTAGCCCGCTCTCACCAACCCAAACGCCTAACATGCCATCGTGCTCATCATAAGCGCTTGCTTTTCCATCATCCCATCTGGCACCGCCCAGCCAGCGATCCACACGCAGGGATCGCGAGCTCAGGGATACTGGATGTTGCTGAGTCGTCACTCCATCCCTCCCAACGGAGGCCCCAAGCTGCTCAGCGGCCGCTCCTCCAGGTCTGAGTCGCTGAGCTCCAGCGCGGCGCTTGACACTGTCCCTGGTCCACTCGACTACGCAACAGGAGGCGCCGTTGCGGGCTCCACTCCAAAAGGCTGGAGCGCAGCCCGCTTGGCCTGCAGCTTGGCACGCAAGGAAGCTTCTGGGGGCTGATGAGACGGCGCAGACTTCGTGGCTTCTTTCACGGCGACTTTGGCCTTGGGAGCATGAGGCGACTTCCTGCCACCCAGCGGTGCTGCAAAGGCACTCTCCTGATCTGATACCGCCACGACAGGGCGAGGGGTTCGGGCAGCACTCTGTCCTGTGCTCAACGGTGGGGCCTGCTGAAGCGCTCTCTCCAGCACACCAGTCATTGGCGACGCTGGCTCCAAATCTTCCATGGCGTTCCGCATCATGTTCTCCCACTCTTGGCTTTCGGCAAGGGAACCCCTATCCGCAGCTGGCTGTGCCCCATGGCCACTTCCCGGACCTTCAGCCGGGCAGCTTCCTGCTGTTGCAGTGCTTCCTGTAGATCCTGTTCTATCTTCAGCATAGCACTGGAGTAACGCTTGTGCTCCCGCATGAATGCGGCCTTCATGTCTGTCTGAAAATCCTGCCATTGTCGGGTCTTATCTTGCTTGTCTTGAGTGAGTCTCTTCACTCGACTCTCTTGCTTTCTCGCAACATTCAAAACTGTCTGCAGGTCGCCAACTAGTGAATCCGTCCTGGCCTCCTTGTAGTCCACAGTTTCCACCAAAGGACGACTTGGTTCCGATGGTGACGGCTTCTTGCCATCGTAAGTTGGGAAGGGGTTCTTGCCCCTCCCTGCTGCAGCATCCTGACCATCTGGCTGTGCTTTCCACAAAACCTTGCGAGGAGACCAAGCACCTTGCCAACAAGACCAAGGTTGCTGCTGTCCTTGATGCCGCCATCCGTTCCGGCCCATGAGCACGACGAGCCGTTGAGAGAACCTGGGATTGGTTCCGTGATGGGCCGCTAGTTGCAGCAGCCGTCCTCTCGATGGTTGCAAGCCTCGACGGAGTGTTCTTCTGGTGTTCGCCCGTCGCTGGCGTCTACGTCGGTGCCAGGATGGGGAAGTGCAGTGTAGGGCTATGGCTGCAAGGAATGCAACTGCACACGAGTGCTTAGGGGCTACAGCGATCCGCTCACGGTGTTCTGAGCCCTGCAAAGGAGGTCAGTCAACTACGAGGACAGAAAAACGGAGCACCTCTTCATCCTGACGAGGTAAACGAGCTCCTTCTAGAATATGCCAAGAACTTCCAGCCGCAGGAGCCCGAGGTAAGCAGTACAAA